AAGAGTGACCATACCACTCTTTGAATTATACCACCTTGGAAACTCTGAAAACGTACAGACCCATGTGATCTAGCCCTGAAAACAGCAGCACAGAAAGCTTGGGAGGGTCCCCCAGCCTTCTCCCACACCCCTGAGACTAGAGCCTAATTTTAACATGAAGTTAAAAGTGAAGGAATAGTTGGGGAAAATGAGCAAACATCAAAAAAAAGAACCTGACTGCAGAAAGCTGCTTTGGTGACAGGGCAGTTCAATACACAAACTCAGAAAAAAGATGACGTCAAAATAGCTACAAGCAAAGCCTTAAAGACAAATGTAAGTTGTACACAGACTCAGCGAGAATTCCTGGAGGCACTTGAAAGGGATTTTAAAAATCAAATAAGAGAGGTAGAGAAATGAGAAAAAAATGGGGAAAAAAATGAGAGTGATGCAAGAAAATTATGAAAAGAAAGTTAACAGTTTGTTAAGAGAGGCACAAAAAATACTGAAGAAAATAACACCTTAAAAAACAGAATTGGCCAAATGGAAAAAGAGGTACAAAAAGCTCGCTGAAGAAAATAATTCCTTAAAAATTAGAATTGGGCAAGTGGAAGCTGAGACACCAAAAACAATAAAACAAGTCAAAAGAATGAAAATATAGAAGAAAATGTGAAATATCTTATTAGAAAAACAATAGACCTGGAAAATAGATCCAGGAGGATAAATTAAGAATTATTGGACTGCCTGAAAGCCTCATTTAAAAAAAGAGCTTAAATATCATATTTCAAGAAATCATTAAGAAAAACTGTCCTAATACTCTAGAACCAAAGGGTAAAATAGAAACTGAAAGAATCCACTCATTATCTCCTGAAAGAGATCTCAAAATGAAAACTCCTAGGAATATTATAGCCAAATTCCAGAGCTCCCAGGTCAAGGAGAAAATATTGCAAGTAGCCAGAAAGAAACATTTGAAATATTGTGCAACTACAGTCAAGATCACAGAAGATTTAGCACCTTCCACATTAGAGAAGCGGAGAATTTGGAATATGATAATTCCAGAAGGCAAAGGAGGTAGGATTACTACCAAGAATCACCTACCCAGCAAAACTGAGTATAATCCTTTAAGGGGGGAAATGTATATTTAATGAAATAGAGGATTTCCAAGCATTCCTGATGCAAAGAGCAGAGCTGAAAAGAAATTTTATGTTCAAAAAGAAGACTTAAGAAAAGCATAAAATGGTAAACAGTAAAGAGAAATCATAAGGAATTCAATAAAGTTAAACTGTTTACTTTCCTACATGGGAAGGTGATACTTATAACTTCTAAGAACTTTATCATTATTAGGGCAGTTAGAAGGAGTCTGCATAGACAGAGGGTGTGGGTATAAGTTATCTATGATGGCATGATCTCAAAAAAAATTAAAGGGTGAAAAAAAGGAGAATTCCTTGGGAGAAGGGGAAAGGGAAAGGTAAAATGAGAAAAATTATCTATAAAAGAGGTGTATAAACAAGAGCTTTTACAGTGCAGTGGAAAATGTGAGGCTGGAATCGTAGGCAGTATTTGAACCTCACACTCATTGGAATTGGTTTAAAGGGAGAATAACATTCATATTTAGTTGGGTATAGAAATTTATCTTACCCAACAGAGGAGTAGAAAGGGAAGTGGATAAGTGAGGTATTAGATAGTAGTGCTGATTAAGGGAGGTAGTAGTCAGAAGTGGAAATAGACTTTTGAGTAGGGAGAGGATAAAAAGAGAAAGGATAAAAGGGGGGAGAGGATAAAGGGAAATACACAGTTGATAATCATAACTGTGAATGTGAATGGGATGAACTCGCCCATAAAATGGAAATGGGTAGCAAAATGAATTAGAAACCAGAATCCAAAAATATGTTGTTTAAAAGAAATACATTTGAAACAGAAACGTACACAGAGTAAAAATAAAGGACTGAAGCAGAATTTATTATGCTTCAGCTGAGGTAAAAAAAGCAGGGAATACAATCTTTATTTCAGACAAATCAAAAGCAAAAATGGATTTAATTAAAAGAGATAAGCAGGGAAATTACATTTTGCTAAAAGGAACCATAGACAAGTAGTATCCAAATTCTTAAAGGGACAGGAAGATATAGACAGTAAAACTGTATTAGTAGGGGACCTTAATTTTTCCCTCTCAGAACTAGATAAATCCTGAAAATCTAAGGAAAGAATAATAAAATTTAAAGTAAAAAACCCATTGAATTAAAAAATGACATGAGGAGCTTTTATGAAAAACCAATAAAACATATAAACCAACTGGTTGATTTGATTTTTTTAAAAAACCAAAAAAGCCAAATTACCAATATCAAAAATGAAAATGGTTAATGGACCACCATGAAATTAAAGCAATTATTAGGGGCTATTTTGCCCAGTTATATGCCAAAAAACCCATTACTTTGTCCTTTTTTTTTTTTTTGGACTTTCAACTCTAGTTTTAGGTCTCATAATTTTAAATTTTCTATAAGCTCTTCTATTATTTGTTCTCTCTCTTTTTTTTACTCTTATTAATTCATTCATCCATTTGGTGTATCTCTGAGGATGACATCCATTGTTTTGTTTTCCACTTTCATTTCTTGCAATACTTTATAGCTATTTCATTGTTCTAGGTTTTTTGTGCCTTTATTTACCTTTATTTTTTACAAAACATAACCAAGACAATAGGTCTGAGTTTTCTCAAACAAAATTAGCTTTTACAGAGATCAAGTTTGAGGGGTCAGGTTAGAGAGGGGAGAAGAGGGGAAAGGGTTGATGAGAAGGAGGACCTTTAACTTCCTCTGGTCCCCTCTTCTGACATGGGGGAATGGGTGTGGGGGGGGGGTCTAGGAATTTAAAAAATTTAAAAATTTTTAGTTTATGGAATAAAATAAGCAATTCCATAACATAGTATAATAAAAAAAGATTGCATATGAAAATGCAAATCTATTGTGTATAATTTGCTATTCTTTTTAAATATATAATAAAGTTATATAAATTTCTTTTTTTCCCCTTTTTTCCTTCCTTCTCCTCCCTCTCCCCCTTTTCCCTGCTGCCCTAGAGATGGCTGTGTATATATGTATGTATGTATGTATGTGTGTGTGTGTGTGTGTATACACATAGAATTGTTTTATACATACTTCTATTTCTCAGTTCTTTATCTAGATATAGTGTCCTTCTTCATATGCCCTTTGTAGTTAATTTGGGTATTTATAATAGTCAAAACAGTCTCTAAAAGTCATTCTTTCATTATTATTATTATTATTATTTATTATTATTATTTTGGCTAGGCAGTGGATTAAGTGACTTGCCTAGGATCACACAGCTAGTAAGTGTCAAGTATCTGAGGTCAGATTTGTACTCAGGTCCTCCTGACTCCAGGTCTGGTGCTCTATCCACTGAGCCTCGTAGCTGCCCTTCTGAAAGTCATTCTTTAAACATTGTGCTCTTACTGTATGCAATGTTCTCTTGGTTCTGCTCATTTTGCTCTTCGTTATTTCATGAAGGTTTTTCCATGTTTTTCTAAGGTCATTGTGCTCATCATTTCTTATAGCATAGTACTGTTCCATTACACATGTACTACAACTTGTTCAACTATTCCCCAATTGATGAGCATCCCTGCAGTTTCTAGTTCTAGCAGCTCTCTTTGTGCTGCTATAAACATTTTTAGAACATTTAAGTTCTCTTCCTTTTTCCCTAATCATATTTGGAAATAGACCTAGTAGAGGAAATTTAATAACTCTTTGGGCATAATTTTGTATTGCTCCCCAAAATGGTTTAGGTTAGTTCACAATTCCACCAACAATGAATTAGTGTCCCAATTTTTTCACATCCCCTCTAACATTTGTCACTTTCCCCCTCAATCATTTTAGCCCATCTGGTAGGTGTAAAATGATATCTCAAAGGTGTTTTAATTTGCATTTCTCTAATCAATAATGATTTGGAGCATATTTTCATATGGCTATAAATTGTCTTCTTCATTGGAAAACTGCCTGTTCATATCCTTTGACCATTTGTCATTTGGGGAATGACTTGTATTCTTACAGATTTGACAGAGTTCTTTATATATTTGAGATATGAGACCTTTATCTGAGAAACTGTCTATAAAATGTTTTCCCCAATTTTCTGCTTTCCTTCTGATCTTGGCTACATTTGTTTTATTTGTACAAAACCTTTTTAATTTAATGTAATAGAAATTTTCAATTTTGCACTTAACTTTGCTCTCTATCTCTTGTTTATTCATAAATTATTCACCTATCCGTAAGTCTCATAAGCAATATGTTTCATGTTCTTCTAATTTTCTTGTAATATCTCTCTTTACATCTAGGTCACATATCCATTTTGATCTTATCTTGATAAATAATAGATAGAATATTTTAAAAAGTATTGACACTTTTTTTCACTTTGTTAATTTTTTTTTCTTGGCAAATTGTTGTTGTATGGTTGTTTTTCTTTTCTTTGATATTCACATTGTTTAATTTGAAGACTATGTGAGAAACTTGGCTACTTTACAATCTCTCTCTCATTTTAATGGACGCCCTCAGCAAGTGTATACTTCATTTTGTGTCCTGTTTAGTTAAACCGAAGCTTCTATGCATGTCTTCTCTGCATTCCACTTGTAGAGATTTAACTTAATCCAGCCATTGATATGGTACCCCATTGTGTTGAGATTTTAAACATTCACTCCCTAGTTGCACAGAGAAAATCCTAGAACAAGTATGTATATTTGTGATTTTCATATGTTTTAAGCTATTTTCCTTTGTCTTTTCATTTATTATAAATTTCTTTTTCTTGTCTGTCAGTGGAAAAATTCCTTTGAGTGGGTATCATATATGGCCTTGAATACTCCAGAAATCTATTTTGTGCCATGGGAAAGATGTAATCTTAGAAAGCAGAAATTGTAGTTATTTTTCTTTTGAGAAGATTTTTGTTACTAGGAAGAACTGCCAAAAAATATTATGACACAAAACAAACCATTACCAGTTATTAATGCTGCATTTTATGTTTTTCCCCACCAGAGATCATTGATGACCTTGCTAACCTGGTGGAGAACACAGATGAAAGACTTTGTAATCAAACCAGACAAGTGAAAATGGTAGACAAAAAGTCATCATCTTGTGGTAAGAAAGATCTGAGTTATGTTTGTATGCCTTTTTAATGGCCTTTTGGGGTTTTGAAGAAAGCTATTAAATTTGGTCTGGGACATGGTGAATTTGAGGGGTACATGCAGGTTTTTTATCCATTAGGCAGTTGGAAATGCACAACTGGAGCTCAGAGTAATAGAGGTACAGTTGTTTCCCAACACTGTCAAAAGGTAAAACTTAAGCCATGAGAGCAGGTGATATTTCCAGTGGATAAAGATTAGAATAGTGTCATGGACAGAAACTTGGGAAATGACAATACTTAGGTACTGGGATAAGGCAAAAGAAACCAGTGAAGAAGACTAAGATGTAAGTTAGAAGCACATGGAGAACCAGGAGAGAGAAAAGTCATGGAAGCCAAGGGAGAAAAATATCAATAATTTAAAAGGGAGTGGGTCAAGAACATCAGAAGTTAGAGAAAAGTGAAAGATATAGATTACTGGGAATAGTTTATTATATTTTATTGGGAAATGACCATGAAGAGAGCAGTTTCAGTAGAGTAGTGGGAACTGAAGGCAGGAAGTATACACTAATATTAATAGAAGCTTGTTTTTATTTTAAAATATTTATTTTTATCTATTAAAATTTAATTCAACACATTATACAAATGCCATCAATTGGCAACATCCAATCTCTAACAAGTGGTTAACAAAACAACATAAGTGTGATAGTTTACACTCAACTTTAGTAGTTTTCTGTATTTTCTGTTTTCTGTATTTTCTTAAAAGAAAAGCCAAGCACTTGCTTTATCAGCAAGTACCTTTATTGTCCAAAGATTTCAGTCTAAGTTATTTTTGCTCTTTAAACTTGTTTTCATTTATGTAATTATAGCGATTTATCTCTTTTTTTTGGTTGTTGTTGTTCTGCATTGTTCACTCTGCACTATGTCACATAAGACTTCAAGTCCCATATAGCTTTGAATTTGTCGTATTTGTTAGGGCACAGCAATGTTCCTTCATATTCCTTCATTACTGTTTGTTCAGTCACTGGACATGGAGTTTTAAGTTTTTTGCTATTACTAATAGTAATATTATGAATATTCAACTTTTCGTATATGCAGCCTTCTTGGGTTATTAAACCAGTATAGTATGATCCTTAGTTGAAAGGTTATGTACAATTTAGGGACTTTCTTCCCATAATTCCAAATTGTGAAGTACTAATTTAGGATTCCTTACATAACATTTTTTCTTATTATCACTGATTTTGAACATATTTCAGATGTTTTTCTTCTTTTAAAAACCATTCATATTTTTTTCTACCCACTTGTCTATTAAGGAGTGACTTTTAATCTTCTGTTAATTCCTTATAGAGTAAACAGAGCTTATTGACTGCCAAATGATTAAAGAAATTGTGGTACATGAATATTAAGGCATACTACTGTAAAAGATGATGAATATGATGATTAGAGGGAAGCAAAGGAAGACATACTGGACTTACTCAGATACTCAAATTGATATGTGACTGTATCAGTGTGGATGATTTCACCAATGATGATCATAACCCTTCCATGCCTGTCATTCCTGTGTGACTTTCATTCATGATCTTCCATAAGTTCACCAGAAAGAGATCCACCCAATCTGCTGGGAACCTTCCTCATTTTCTTTTGTCATCATTAGGTTTCTAGTGGAGCACATAAACTTGTCTCTGTGTTCGTATAACTGATCCATTTTTATTTTTGAATCATACTTTTAATAATATATCTAATTTTATTAAATATTTAGAATAGCTGTCATGCTATTTTATATCTTAGATATGAAACTTCTGTCAAAGAAGTTTGCTGCAACAAAACACTTTATTTTTTATATACTATTAATGTCTGAATATTTTCCCTGTTTCCTTGACTCAGTGAGATTCTCCAAGGTTCTGCTTTATGTTCTCTTTCTTCTCTATATCCTCTTGGTGATCTTATTGACTCCCATAGGGTCAGTTATCACTTTTATATCCTTTCTTCTTACTTTTGCAAACAGACTGGCATTTCATGCATAACAACCTTCCCTCCTCATCTCCTCTTAGAATTCCTGCTTTCATTTACAGCTTGGATCATATGCTACCTGCTACCTGAGGACTTTCCTGATTTCCCAAACTGCTAGATGGAGAATCAGGAGAGAGAAAAGTCATGAAAGCCAAGGGAGAAAAATATCAATAATTTGAAAGGGGGTGGGTTTGACAAATGAACACAATGTGTGTGTGTGTGTGTGTGTGTGTGTGTGTGTGTGTGTACACTTACCTTTGGATATGTTGTTTCCCTCGTGAAATATATGTTTCTCAAGAGTAGGGACTGTTCAAAACCCCTCCAAATACCTGTAAAAAATGGCTCTAAACAAAGAGTAAGGACTGTTTTAATTTTTTTTTCTATCCTTATCTGTAAATGCTTACTGTGAATTCTTTGAATTGAGAGTTTCATTTTTTATATTTGTAAGCCCACTATATAGCACCTGGCACTTTCGAGGAGCTGAATAAATGCCTATTGATTTATTGGTTGAAACAATGTGAGTGCTTTGAGAATTGTGAGTTATCTGAAGGTAGGGAAGATACCAAAGTGGAAACAAACAAACAAACCTTGGACCTTATTAATTAAAAAATGAAGAAGATGAGAACGTCAGTAGCCATCCACCTATATGCATGGCACATGGTTGGTGCTTAATAAAGCTTCTTTCCTGTCTATTGCATCCATTTCTATCTTTCTACTCACATTGCCACTATCCTATTTTAAGCCCTCATTATTTTTCACCTGGTTTGACCAGTTCATTTCCCTAATCTTTAGTAGCTCCTTATTACTTCTGAAATATGATAGTTATATATATGATATAATATAGTATAGTATAATGTAATGTAATACAATATAATAATCTCCTCTTTGGCATTTAAAACCTTTTATAATTTGGCTGCAGCCTACATTGCCAGTCTTATTTCAAATTACTGTTCTTTATTCATGCTATAGTCTTGCCAAAATGGCTTAGTAAGGTACTACATGTTACCATATCTGTGTCTTTGTCCTGGCTGTTCCCTTTGTTTATAATATTTTCTCCCGGCCCCCCCCCCCCCTTGTATCTTAGAACCTCTATTCCCTTCAAACCTCATCTCAACCCTTCTTTGTATCTCAGCCTTTCTTGATTTCCCCAGTTGCTAGTGTATTTTTCCTCAAAAGTACTGATATGCCTATATATGTACACAATACTTTTCTTGACAGAATGTAAACTTTGAGGGTAGGACTACTTAACTTTGTCCTAATATTCTTTTTTTTCATATTTCAGTAATATTTTCCCCAGTTGCTTGTAAAAACAATTTTTAACATTCGTTTTTTAAAATTTTGAGTTCCAAATTCTCTACCTCCTTCCCTCTCCTAGCCTCTCCTGGGGAAGGTAAGCAATTTGATATAGATTATACATGTGCAGTCATGCAAAACATATTTCTGTGCTAGTAATGTTGTGAAAGAAAACAGAGCAAAGAAAAACTATGAAAAAATAAAGAAATTGAAAACCATTATGTTTTGATTTGCATTCATATTCCATCAATTCTTTCTCTGGAGGTGGATAGCATTTTTCATCTTGAATCCTTTGGAATTGTCTAGTATCATTGTATTGGTAAGAATAGCTATCATACATTATTACTGTTACTGCGTACAATCATCTCCTGGCTCTGCTCAGTTCACTTTGCATCAGTTCATATAAGTCTTCTGAGGTTTTTCTGAAAGTGTTCTGCTCGTCATTTCTTATAGCACAATAATATTCCATTAAAATCATATGCCACAACTTGTTCAGTAATTCCCTAATTGAGGGGGATCCCTTCAGTTTCCAATTTTTTTGCTACCACAAAAAAAGTTGCTATAAATATTTTTGTATGTATAAGTCCTTTTCCTTTTCCTTTGATCTCTTTGGGATACAGACCTAACAGTGGTATTGCTCGGTCAAAGGGTATGCACAGTTTTATAGCTCTTTGGGCATAGTTCAAAATTGCTTTCCAAAATGGTTGGATCATCTTCTCTTTGGTTTTGAAATAGAGCAGCTTTACCTTGTTGTAAACAAGGTAAATAGGATTTTTAAAAAATAGGGTTGAAAATATCTAGATGTCTTTCTTTTGCTATCCAGGTCACTTCTGGCCACCTCCTTCTAACCAATAGTTGGTATGTTCGTAGAGAATACATGCTGATTTTGATTTTAATGCTTTTAAATAAAAAATAAGTAGGAAGGTAAATCTACTGTGGATTTCAGAGCTCAGTATAAATGAGCAATATAAAAGTACTGCTTTGAATTATCCATATAATTTCTATTAGTAATAATAGTCAAGATTTACAATCTATTTTATAAGTTATTAATGGCATTTTTCTGTCTTGCCAGTCAGATGTACATTGTATGTAAATGAACAAGTATTCAGTGATTCAGTGGCTGCTTTGAGATTTTACCTACAGATCAAAGATGTTCTTATAGTCAGTTCAATCTCAACTTGACCTTTTTGTGCATTCCGTTTCTTAGAAAGGTTAAACTTCCTGTTGTCCTGAAAAAAGGATTCAAATTCTTTTTGCATTTCAGGAATTTGCTTTGGGGGAGGAGGTATCTAAAAGTGTATGTATTTTTAACCTATATTCTCAGATCGATTTTTTAAAAATAATATTTTCTTTTGAATAAAAATTTCTCAAACAATGTGTCAGAATACTTTGAGATGCTGAGAAGCTCTTAAAAGTATAGAATAAAGAAATTATAATTTTAAGGGGCGATATTTTATATTTTTGTAAATATAATTTTATTTAAATGTTTTCAGTTTTGTTAGCATATAATTTAGTGTAGTAGTTTTCTGATACACTTTATTTACTTTACCATATGTTCTTCATTTCATTTTTGATCTAGGTAATTTGGTTTATCGCTATTTCTTTTTTTAAAAATTGCATTAGGTTTATTAGTTTTATTAGTCTTTTTAAAAAGAAAGCCATGTTTTGGTTAATTATCCTGATATTCTGTTTGCAATAATATACATGTTTCTGT